AAGTAAGTTGGTTAGCAACGAATCCGCGATGAGTAAGAAATGTTCACACGTTACTTAAAAATGCTACAAACGCAACAAAGTTACCGAAGATAAGCGCAATTAGCGTAAGCAACGTGGCCAGTTAATAGAAGATTATTCAGGTAGGTAGAACAAACCAAATAAAGTGGAATGAAATTTATCCAGCTTAATAAGACCTAGTTTAAGTGTAAGTTGGTTTAGCCCAACTGCGGTGAAGAAGCATCAAGAATGCAACATCAGCCTCAGCATGGGGCACATGTATATATATATATATATATATATATATATATATATATATATATATATATATATATATATATATATATATATATATATATATTGCACTGATATCGTAACATCAGAATCATGGCGGAATAGGGAAGCAGTATGATTAAGTTCATAAATAATGCCCATGGAAGATTAAAACACAGTGTTGCAAAGAGATCTCTTTTCGGCAGATCACATCAGGCAAATACAACTACAGGACTGTAAAATGCATTAGTAAACTGGTGCAAGTAACAAAGAGGACGGATGGGACGATTTGAACAGTTTTAGTATGTTCATTTGATGCTCGAATCGATTTAATCAGGTGACATCGTGATCGGGCTAACCGACAGCTAAATAACTTGTGTAAACAGAAAGGGCAAAATTACTAACCAAATAAAATTAGTTAATTACGCAAATAAATAGCACCCGGTTAAGCGAGATACTCCGGGGAACCTTATCATCAGGGCCATGGCAAAGTCAAGGGTTGCACGAGCACCCTATGTTTGCATAGCTCTGGTTGTGTTAGCCTGATCGCGATGGCTTCAGCTGTCTGCAGGAGGCGTTTCCTTAGCCCTTTCGGGTATCGCCTCGGTACAGCATAATAGACTTTGAAAGCATCTTTTGTCAGAATCTGATGCCCACTAAGAATCAGATGCTCCATAATTGAGCTGTTGATACTTCTGTGCATGCCTCTCCGCAATGACCCTGGACAATGTTCAGCCATTCGTACCGACAGACGCCTGGTCGTATGCCCGAGGTACTTTGCACCACAGGTGCAAGTAAACTGGTAAACAATGTACGATTCGGACGACACTGGCAGTCTGTCTTTAAGGCGTTGAGCTATGAAGGGAGCGGTCTCTGCAACTACATGCGGTTGGGCGGCCGGGTAGGTCCTTGCTACGGCATTAGAAATTCTTCTGTTCAGGAGATCGAAGGCGATATCTCCCTTAAAAGGAACAGTGAGAAACACATCCTTCTTCGGAACCGTTGCTACGGGCTTATCCCGCTCACGGGTCATGGCATGCTTTTTGATGAAAGGCTCTGGGTATCCATTCGCAAGAAGTGTTTTCACAACTCGGTCCTTCTCATCTTCGAGAGTTTCGGGACTACAAATTTTGGTGGCCCGATAATTCAAGCAACGTACTAAGTTGCGTTTGTACCTCAGAGGGACAAAGCTCGAAAAGTGTGTGTACTGTCCTACCCAAGTAGCTTTGCGGAAGACTCTACGCTCAAGTGATCCGTCCTCGCGCCTTCTCAACAAAACGTCCAGAAAAGCCAGCTTACCTTCATTCTCCATTTCACTAGTGAATTTTATTAAGGGGTGTGCACTGTTGAACTGGTCCAGCAAATTGTTGACATCAATGTGCGAATCACAGATGATGAAAGTGTCATCCATATACCTCCAATAAGAATCAAATGAGGCAATAAGCCTTTGGATGGGACCGCGCTCAAGCTTAGCGAGGAAGATGTCGGCAAGAAGAGGTCCAAGGGGGGACCCCATAGCCACGCCATCGATTTGCCTGTAATAGATTCCGTCAAACAGGAACTGTCTATTAAAGGTACACCGCAAGATTAACTCCTTGAGCTTGGGCATCGGAATGCCAACGTTTAGGTTCCTTTCCGTTATATACTCACAGATGAAATTAACAGTTTCAAACAGTGGGACATTTGTGAGAAGTGATTCTACATCGAAGGAAAACATTTGTTTACCGTTTAATTTTAGCTCTTTGACTTTATCGATTAAGAAAGAAAACTAAACTACATCATTTTTTCCAGTTTACCCACGGTTGAAAGGAAGGCTTTTCTGACTCTCTCGGCAGAGAATTGGGAGATCCGCAAGTGGGTTCGTGTTACTCGTTACCATTTTTGTTACGTACCAATGGCGTATTCCTATTCCGTGTATGGACCGTCACCCGTTTAAAAATAATAAACACAAACACCAGATGGCACACGTGAACTCAGTATCTTAACAGTTACACCGAACGGTGAGTGGCATTGGAACCAACGAACCAATCAAAAACAAAAACCCGAGTCTAGCTATAGATTGGGGCGTTGGCTGTGAGACACAGTCACGTGAGTGGGCGCGTTAGTTAATGGGCTGTAGCATGGCTTATAGGCAGCGCATGTATTCGTAACACCAACCTTTGTTCTTGAACTGTTCATCCCTCGCCTGAATGGACGCTTGATTCCTAATCAAAAGCCGAAGTCACTGGCCCCCCACAGGACAGAGAGAAGACCGGATCGGACGAGCAGAGCAACAGGGATGTATTAGCGAATCACACCGTCCATTATAAAGGTGAAATGGAATGTTCGTGAATGGTATTTAAAGCGAACGTGGAAAGCTCTGGAAAGGTCAACTTACAGCCAATAAAGGAACGCCGACCTCGCGTTAATTGGCCGCTTCGCCCGATTGGCTCTCTGTTCGCCCCAATCAGGGCGGATGAGTTTGGATCGCCTGCCGCGGCGATGGGGTCCTGGCTTGTTCGCATCGCGTATTCCTTCCTAACAGTTCTCCTGGGGAGCTTCAATGTGCGGACACATGAACGTTGGACAACAAGCCGATCTAGCGCGCTTCCCAAAATATTTTGCCACCTATATCCGCTGCTCTTCCAAAGTTCGTTTGTATGACCCCAAATGGGGCTTCGATCGATGTCTTCCATCAACAGCCAACTAGAATCTGCACTTGTTGGACAACGGATACCTAAATGCGCTGGGGTAGGTTAGCGACTGTGTAGCTTTTGGTCGTCAAGCCGCGACCATTCTACTGGAGTGCTTTCGACTACGCGCCAGCAGAGGGTATTCCGTCTTGAAGCAGATGGGAAGACCAGCTTATTCATCCTCTCCTACACTTCAACTGACAACGTCGAGGCCCCGGTCGGAAGCGAATTTTGCGGGTTACTGCGACACATTTTGATTGAAATTGTCAACTCAGATATTTTCCACGTTGCAGACATTATTGTGGTGGCTGACCGTTTGTTGTTGTGCGAACACCGCCTTGAGGTCGTCATGCGCCGAACTTGGTCAAATCAAAAAAACTTGAACACACTTTTTAGATTATGCTCAGATAACTATCCGTCCGCCCAATCATAAAGTAAGGCGTTCTGCAGCCTAACGTCCCACTATTTTTACTCAAGCTCTGTTAATGTATCCACTTTTCCAAATTTTTGTCTCCGGAACATGGGAGCGGTTTAATATATTTATCACGGGCTATCATCTGCCATTTTCATGTAAGTTCCAGTCGGTCGCTACTCTGGATGTCTAGGCTCGGTCTTAGGCTCTAACAGATGTTGTCATCCACATCAGTCTTGGTCATCACGCACAAAAACAAACCTAGTCATTCAATGTGTATTCACTGGATAAGGAATAGTTACATGGGCCAAATACACGTTGGAGTTGCCCATTTTATCTGCCTTGGCATATATGGAAACGTATCGGTCGTGCTGGTGAACAAATGTATGACACATTTAGTGTTTCACGGGCACTCGTCCGACCTGATAATCATCGGAATAAATATGCAATTACCAAACTCTAGTACGCTCTATGCGCCAGAACATTGTAATGCATGGCTATTCCCAATAAATGGACAGAGCCCTTCTGTCACAACGAAAGGCCAAGTAGATGTAGCACGTCCTTGGCGGTGTTTTTAATGCAAGTTTGCAGTGTATGAGAATCTTGTAACCACAGTCTTATGGTCTCTTTTCGTTCACTCACCCACGCTTAAGCAATATTGTGCCCTCCAACAGTTGGCCTTTGTTCTAAAAACTGGACATCCCTTCACTTTTAGAATGCCCAGTCATACATTCTCGGCCGGTGGCCGAGTGCTCTGCTTGCCTGGCTTGCAATCTTAAGGCCAACGTTGTAAATCCGCGTAGGGGTGGGCGTCCTCGCGGTACACTCAGCCCGCGCGGGACTGTTGGTGGTCGCGCGGCAGCGGAGCGCCGTTAACCTACAGCTGACATATTATTATTAGTAGTAGTATTAGTATTAATTCTCCCTAAATGATAGTAGTTTTTTCGTAAAGCAAAACTAACCAAGCCATGCTTAAACCCGCTATCATGATAATTTACCCAAATGAGTACTCGTTACCAGATTGACATAACTCAGTCGGCTAGTGGAATTTGTTGATTTCGATCAATTTAAAATGACTTTAAAATTTGTCTAATAGGAAGTCAGATGGGTGTGCTTTGTTAACCACGTAGACCAGCTCCTGACTCATCCGTTGTATTAATCATTAGAAGCCATAGCAATCAGCGCTAGTGATGCGGACACGCTAGCAGTGCAGTGGCTACCAACGCGATTGGCGGAAGTTCATTCCCATAGTGGTTCAGACCGTGGGCGCCGCTTTAATACTGGTCACTTATAACTAAAATGATTAGACAAACAAATGAGTCTCGAGGATGGAATCCCTAACGAATTCAGCCAGAAAGTTTTATATTAAGTAAGGCCACGGATGGTCAGTGTTTACTAGAGTCAGCGCACCATGAGAGCTCTTTTTGGCAAAACTCGGCATCTAGAAGCAATTTTCCGTGTTGATAACACTTAACTGAGAAATGTGATTAGACTGGTTGATGCCAATTAGCAGGAGTTTCGTCTCCGTTAATTCATAATGACTACTAGTACTGCTGACAGCAAATGCGGACAGTGCGACCAATATAGTCGTCTATTTACTGATCACAAATATGATCGGCCATAAAAGATTATCCTAGGACACTCACCCAATTCCGGGACCGTCTCCCACGTCCACGATTCGCATCCAGTACCACTCCAGCCTTGGCAACTCCATTGTCACTCAATTCAATAGCCCGTTCTGTTTTGTCCTCATCCATAGACCACAGCTGAACAATACTGGACATCCAGAACGTGATGGAATCGAACATAGACCCTATCGGAGGTGGTTTACTATCTCCGCTTTGGGGCAATGTAGTGCTTGTCATACGGTTTTTTGAACCCCAGAAACGCACATTTTTCAAAGTCAGAGTGCCTTCAATCGAGTTGATCGCAGCTACGGTACCCTCGTAACGGTACTGCGCACTTGTGACTAACGATACTTTCATTTCAAGGGACAACCGATTCGGCTGAATTTCTGTTCCCGACATCGCAGGTGACCACGTGTGATTCCCAATCCAGCTTTCAATTCGGACGTTTTCAAGGTCGTACTGGATAACAGGATAAGTCTGTCTCTGAGTCCTGTTCAACTTCACTGCCGGACGCAGCGTCACTGCCCTTCTGCACGCTCGGTGCCCTGCTTGCGCCTCACGGTCAATTCGAATGAGGAAAAATCAATACAGTGGGAGCCACTGGAATCGGTCGATAGAGTCCAATCCCCTAATGCGCGTGGGACATACAAAAATTGGCTTGCATTGACAACCTAAAGGTTGTGCACCTGTGTGAATACAAAACGAGGCCGTTACACATTTCAAAACGCGTGAAATTCTTATCGCTTGAATAAAGTAACACGATGTGTTATGTACTTGCCAATGGGAAAAAGTGATGTTGAAATCTAAACGAAGGGTTAGACCTACCACTTCAGTTTACCAGACGGAATATCTGCTGTGCCTACTTGATGGATTGTGGAAAGTCGGCACAACATGCAACGGACCACCACTCTTAACCGACTGGTTTGAAATTTTAGGGCATTCTGACGAATGCTGTAAGCCGGTGTTCAAGTCGCATGCATTCATTAGCACAATGCTTACAGCGTAGCACGGTAAAGAAGACCGTGCTCCCGTCCCATTCCGTAACGACCAACTGTCTCCTAGAGCCAGTATGGACGAGGTAGTGGGTAATAGATAGGTAGGCACCTTGTCAACATGCACATCAAGCGCAGCCACACCGGGGATGTCAATCAACAGCCAATCAGTTACAACGACAATATCAAATAAAATACACGGAATAATGCACACAGGTATGTTGATGGCTCTTCAATGAGTAAGCATTTGAAATAAATTGGTTGCCAAAATATCCGTTATTGTTTCGGGAAAATATTTTTAAAAATGCCACAAATACACATGAAGTTATAGAAAGACCGTGGCTCACTAGGCCTGCCTGATTCAGGCACTCGCGACCGCATGTTCTACAGCACCATCGCAATGAGGCTGGACCTTACCGTGGTGCGATGGTTTGTGTGTTTCAGCGATCCACTCAGCTATGCTGGGTGGTGCTTTTGCACCTTCAGAGTCACTCATACCAGATTTGTCAATGGTTAGAAGTCAGACAAACTCAGCCTCCTAATCCTCCAGGTTGGAGGTGGGAATGAGGGTGGCTCCTTATCACTCAAAACGGACTCCTTGTGGCCCAACGCCAAACCCGCTGCATTGCGGTCAGGTTTTTGGACCAAAGGGTTTGCTTGAGAACCCTAATTGTTCTCCTGTCTAGGCCGGGGCAACCTGACAGTATCCTGCCCACGCAATACAATGAATCTTTCCTCTAACAATTTCTTGATGCTCTGACCACCGCAGAGGATAATCAACGGTGCCCTATCTGCTGCATCGAGCAGGGTGGATAGGGGTTTGCATGCTACTGCTCAGGCCTTCCCGCCTTTTTATTCCCCCCTCTTGCACTTTTTCATCCGTGTGGTCCCGCCCCAACTTCACTTTTATCCCCCCCGGTTTCAATCCCCGATACTTGGCCCTCCCCGAACATGCTTTGCTAGACATTTGTCTACTAATTTTAACTCACATATGAACGCGGAGCGTCACACCTCTCCTGTCGACAAACTCATGTCCATTCAAGCGACCCATTCCAGTTCATCGGCTTCCATTTGGAGCCCTCGATCCTTCTTTAGATGGGCATGCCTCAGTGTACGCACATTATTACAGATCGGTCAACAGGCAGCACTTGCCCGAACATTGGAGACCCTCTCGATCGATATCTGTTGCTTATCAGAGTCCCGCCTGCAAGGCTCTAGCTCTGCGCTCACTCTGCGATCCCCTTCAGGTGACACTAGCAGCACTTCCTCATTGCGCCTATCCGGTGACGATGCAGCTTCGAGCACCGGCCAAGCTGGTGTTGGCATTGCCCTGAGTCCCCGGGCTGAAGCTACTCTGGTTGACTGGATTCCAATCAGTAGCCGGATGTGCGCGGTCCGATTGGCTGGCTCGTTCAAAGCTTCAAAGTCGAGCGGGATTAATAGGTGTCAATTCATCATCGCTGCCTACGCGCACACAAACTGTAGCGATGATTCGGTAAAGAACGACCTCTACCGCCAACTGATCCAGCTCCTTCGCCACAAAAGAAGAACGGATCCTGTTGTGCCGGCGGCGGATCTGAAAGCACAAGTTGGAAAGTTGTCCACTGATGAAATGCATCTGGGCGGTCAGCACGGTGTAGGCTCCCGTAATGATAACGGTGAGCGGTTACTTCATTTGTGTGAAGATGCTCGCTTATTTCTTGCGAGCACTAATTTCAGACACAGCACCCGCCGGTGGGTGCCTTGGTGCCCACCAGCCAATAACCACCCTTGAAAGCAGATCGATCACATTGTTATCAGTTACCGCTGGAAGCGCTGCATCCAGAACTGTCGCTCGATTTGGAGCACAGGTGTGGACACCGATCATGCAATTGTATGTGCTGACATGCGGATGCAATTTGGCGGACGTCCACAACGACGTTGTCAGCGCATTGACACTGGCCAACTGGTGAAACCAGCTGTTCTGAATGCCTATCAAAGTACGCTGTCATGCGAGTTGGATAAACGTTCACTGGATGCAGTTGAAGCTCACTGGTCTCATATTCACCAGACCTTACCAGCAGCTGGCAAATCCTCATGTGGTAAGTCTAATAGCCAACATGGACATTGGGTCTCTTCACAGTCTCTGGAACTGATCAATGCTCGCCGGCATATTCCGGCTGGAAGTGAACACAGTGTAACTTCCAAAGAGCTCCGGGCAAAACTCCGTGCTAGCCTGAAGAGAGACCGCGAATCTTGGTGGTCTCACCGTGCGTCACAGATGGGAGTGGCCACTACCCTTGGCAACCATCGTTAGTTATTCCGTCTTATACGGGAAACGGGCAGCAGGAAACATGGTGTTAGTGAAACTATACGTGACGAGAGTGGACAGCCTAGCCACAATTTGTCAAAACGTTTGCATCGTTGGGCTGAGCATTTTGAAAAGCAATTTACTCGGTAGAATTGTTCGATGCTTCACCGGCCAGTGATCGCCCCGCTCCGTAGGCTGTCCCTTTGGATCCACCCTCTTGTTCAGAAGTCGAACGTGAAATCGGACCGTTGAAGTTGAACAAAGCCGCGGGACCAAATGATCTTCCTCCAGCCCTCTTCAAATTCGGAGGCTCTACTCTTGTTGATGTTTTACATATATTAATAGTGAAACTGTGAGAGTAGGAAACTGTCCCAACCGACTAGAGGCGCTCCGTTATTGTTCCCATCTTCAAAGGAGGCTCGCGTTCGGAATGCGGCAACCGTAGCGGAATCAGTCTGATCTCCATCGCCTCTAAATTACGCGCCTCCATAATTCTTCACCGACTGACTGGCGCTCGTGAAAGTCAGATTCGTGAGGAGCAAACCGGGTTTCGTCGGGGTCGTGGCTGCATCGACCACATCCTCACCTTGCGTCAGTTGTTGGAGCAACGTCACACATATTGGCGGCCCACCGTAGTCGTGTTTTTCGACATCAAAGGTACCTTCGATTTGGTTGATTGATGTGCCCTTTAGAATTGTCTACTCAGGAAAGGTGTGCCCGAGAAAAATGTAAATATTATCCAAGAATTATATGCGCGTAGCACGGGCAGAGTGAGGGCTTACAGCAAGCTGTTGCCACCCTTCAATTTCTCCAGCGGTGTGAGACAAGGATGCCCCGCTGTCACCTTTCCTCTTCAACTTCGCTATTGACAAAGTCATGGAGATTGCATTTACAGGACATTAGTTAGAAGGTATGGAGCTACTCACATTAGAACGACTTCTTGACTTGGAGTATGCACACTGTTGTGTATTCTGCCAGCATTCTTGACGGCTAGTCTAAACAGACACGTGCACACAACCCCAGACACACACACAAAGTGTCTAATTCTCTGCTTCCCTAGTGGTTCATCCTTCTCCTTGCGACACCTTAATGTACTCACCCAGTTAGACATTGAGCATATTACAGCAGTTCGTTTACGAGAGTGCCCTTTTTAATACTGTTCGTGCAATGGACCTTTCGTATACAACACTGACGTCGCGGCTTACGAACCTAGGCCGTGGAGTTACATCCTCCTTCAGTTTACTAGTCTGATCCGTCCTTACTTACGAAAGTACATGGGCCCAGTGGAAATCCTCGTTTACAAACTATCTTGATCGACTACCTGCGGCTTCTAACTACAATAAAGGCCAGAAACTGAAGCTTCTCAGACACCTACTCGGTGATGAGGGACAACGTCAATTTGATGCTTTGGAGTTCCAGTCACAGGATACCTTAACGAAAGCGCTAGAGATGCTGGACAAGTCAGGGGGACGGCGTACAAACCTCTTCATTGCCCTCCTCAAATTCGACCGACTTACACAGGAACCATCGGAAACTAGACGGTTTCCTTGATCTCCTCATTCGCGGTGTACGACTCTGCGAGTATCCAATCATACCGAAAAATAGAATCGAGGGCGTAATGCTAGTGCAGCAGTTGAATAGTGGAATCACCACAACCGAATTCGGGAATGTCTACTTTCCGAAGCCGCTTCCAAATTGACTTGGGATATGGCTGTGGAATTAGCTCGCCTCAAAATATGTACGGCCGAACAGTTGCGATGTTTCGCCACCCACGCAGACATACAGGAGGTAGTCAAGATCCATCGCTCGCCAACTGAATTCCAAATCCCACAGAAATGCTTCCGATGCGGTAGCCTACAGCACAAAGCCAATTTTACCAAGTGCGCTGCCTTAGAAATGGATTGCAGAAAGTGTGGTAAGCGTGGACATTTTGCCCCTTGTTGTCGCTCAGTACGCATTTCTCAGTTGCATCCTACAGGTTCCGTTTCTAGTCAGCAGTTACAGTTCTCTGAAAATGTATTTTCCATTGAGAACACAGATACTTTGTCCAACTATTGTTCCAATTGTCCAGAGCCTAAACTACCTATGCCTGACATTCGTACTGCTACAGTTATGGCACGCGATAAAACAAAACATGTTGACATGGAACTTGATTCAGCTTCACCTATGACTATAGTACCGAGCAGTTTTTATGACATTCACCTACATGACATGCCTATACATCCTTCAGCTTATCGATTTGACAATTATTCAAAGGCCCCGGTAGCAATACGGGATTTGTGGTGATCGTGTTGC